TTTGGAATTCACATTATTCTATGACCATCTAGCTGCGTGTGTATGATTCAAATGAAAGATGAGAAAATATATAGTATCACAACCTGGATAGCAGCTTCAGGGTATGCTTAGGGGCAACAATCTAGCAGCTTCAGGGTATGCTTAGGGGCGGAGCTCCATACAGAAGAACAATACTTCGGAAAAGGTTTTATTTGAGCTTTATAAAGCCATATTGCTGGTCGCTCAAGATGTCAAAACCTTCCAAATATTTAAGAATATGGTGGTTCACGTTTTTCTCCATGATTTTTGATGTCACTGATAGCAAAGCGACTAGTCTATAGTTATATTTGGAAGAGTTTTCTTGCCCTTTTTGGAAAAGGTTGATCGCGAGCAGTCTTCCAGCAAGAAGGAAAAACCCCTTTCTTGTAAGACAGATTGAAAAGTCTGCAAAATACTGCAATAATATTTCTTGGATTTTAGTGCCTATTATTATGGAATTTCAGGCAATATGATTTACTATTTGTTTGAAGGTGGTTGATAATGTATCCGAACTGATGAAATTCACCATGATTCACTATCTTCCTTTTTTTTAAGTTTCCCATATTCATTATATAAAGGTGGAGAATCACAAAGCCAACTTCTCAGATATATAAAGACAAAAATTTGAAAACATAAAGATGGACTTTGAAGGTGAAAAAAAAGTTACCTAACTACATGTTGGTGTAACTATTGTTCGACAGCTTCAACATGGTAAAATTATACTCAATCAGCCTACTTTCTGAACAGAGCTGCGATCAAAGTTTTCAGTAGAAATATTAGTTTTTTTTAAAAAGTCCATTCAAATGCAATATGTGTTTTTGTAGCGCCATACCTCATGTAGACTCATAAAAACTGACAAAACTTATGGAAAGACTCAATACCTTCATAGGTCTTTCATAACTTGTTTGTCATTGATTTTTTTCAAATATTAGAACTTATGAAATAATTATTCGTTTGTGGTGGTAGAAACATGAATTTGAAAAAATAAATGATAGCTTTCAATTGAAAATGGAAAGAAATGCATACTTCGCATCTTTAAATAGATCTATATGCAAAGCCAGAGGATTATTTGGAAATCAGTAGGTATATCTTTTATGACTATATTTTACCCAATAAGCTACCAAACAGAAGATTCAATTGACATATTATTCAGTCATTTCACTTTTTTGGTACTTTTACTACATATCCACTTAACTTTATGTTTCGTCAATATACTTGTTTATCGATAAAAAATATACTGGGAATGGGCTGGAGTCTCTCGTAAGACTAATCGTGATTCCAAATATCTGAAATGGAAGAGCTTTCCAATCGTAAAAAAGTCCGTTTTCTACAAATTGGTAAGTTTCTTGCTGTTTTAGGCACTTCTTCCATTGTTGAAAAGGGCATCAGAGGCCAACTACGATCTACCACTTGGCAGTAGCAAATCAGCTGTCATAAACATGAGTTCTATTCTGGGATCTATCAGCCTGAACGACGATGGTGGATTTTATCCATACAGATGCTCAAAAGTAAGTACATTGCTGTTTATATCAATAATTGAGTGGTATTCAGGAAATNATAATCGATAAAAAAATAATTCAACTTTTAGAATGATATCATTCCAATCTTTGCAACTTCTTTCGTTAATCCCCAGAATATATAACGTAAAACATTTCCTAAGGTGTCTTCTTTGAAGTAGATACAATGTTGAATATTTGCGAAGCAAAATTTAATATTTAACTCAATTAAAAAAAAAACATATTTCTGTACATGAACACTAATATCATTCTTCCATGATTTTTTCAGGTAGCTTTGAATATCTCAACAAAATCCCTGAGTGTCGATCTGAACAATGATGGAATTCTAGCAGTTTGCCTGCATCCTGGATGGGTTAAAACCGATATGGGAGGTTCAAAGGCTCCAATAGACATAGACACTAGTGTCGAAGGGATGATCTCCGTGATAAAAAATCTGTCTGAAGAACACAATGGGGGATTCTACTCTTGGGAGGGAAAGAAACTGGAATGGTGAAATATTTCAGCAGGATAAATGGATGAAGTTTGACTTTCCCAGTATACATACACTTTATGCGTATTTTCTTCAATAATTGAACTGTTCCTTTTATGAAATGATTGTTTAATTTCACATTCATCATTTTGTTTTGAGAGAGAATTGCATCTCTCGGATGAAATGAATCCAACGAATACACTTTTCCTACAGATTAGAACTGGATCACTTTTTTCGACGTTTGTCGATGAGCAGTATAGAATGATGACACCAATTCCAATTTTGAAATCGGTACCATCAAATGCAACAGGAAGTAGGAATAATACATGGGATTATGTAAATAGTATTTTTTTTTGTGTAAAAATATGCAAATTGTTCCCGTGGGTTGGGCTAACTATCGGGCGCGTCCCCAGGTGGTGGATAGGGGAACGGCCAGGGGACTAAAGGCCCTGTACGGGAAGCCAATGTGGCCTTAAGGATGGGGTCGCCGAACTCCTGGTCAAATGCAAATTGTTGAGTATCAATTTAGGTGGACTGTATTTCCTGTGACATGAATGTGAATGTTCTCCTTTTGCATGTTTTTGGTAAATAAAGAAAGCAAATATTTTAAATCGAACCGACTTTTGCTCACCTTGAGAATTTCAGCAATTTGTTTTGAATAAAGTACTTTTCATCAAAACATGTAAACTTTCACGGCCGGATATAACTGTGTAAAAACTTTTTCTCGGGTTTTTTGGCCGTGGTCTGCAGGTTTTTATGCTTGACGTTCCTAGTGTTACTGCGGTAGACATTATCAAAAGCGATGTGGTAATGGTCGCCGTTACATCGCCTTTAATGTCTACTGCAGTAGTAGAGGAACCGTCAGGCTTAAAAACCTGCAGACCACGATCAAAAACCACGAAAAATAGCTCTGACCAAGTAGGTTTTTCTGTCTCAAATCCTAGTGGGCAATATCGTTACACTAAAGACGTTTCACAGCAACACACATCTCAGGTATCACTTGGGCAGCTTGCCGAGCATTCGAGTGACTCGTCCCTTCTCTCGCACTCCCGACCGCTTTGATGGATGTTGCTTACAAAACAGCAACGCGTGTTTACAAACTCGCAATGTGTGCGATATCGTACAATATCGCAACACCTGTTTAAAAAGCCGCAACACTCGTTTACAAAACCTCAGTACGTGTTTATAAAACAGTAAGGCGTGTTTACAAATTCGCAATGCGTTCTTTAAAAACTGCAACACGTGTTTACAAAACCACAACACCAGTTTACAGAAACAGCAACGCGTGTTTACGAATTCGCAATGCCTGTCTACAAAACCGTAACACGTACTAAGAAAATCGCAGTGGGTTCTTACAAAATCGCAATACGTGTTTACAAAACAGCATTACGTGTTCACAAATTCGCAATGCGTGTTTACAAAATCGCAACACGTGTTGACAAAAGAGCGAAACGTGTTTAAGTTCTTTTTTCATTTATTGAGGTGAATTTCTACACCTGTAAAAAGTTCTCCAAAATCATCTCGCCAAAAAAATTACTTTCATTCAAGTTTTCTTTTCAGAATCATCACTCAAACAGCAAGCATTGAAATTCCATTCGTACGCCACTGGTCAGCTCATTCAAAGAAAAAACAAAAAGTTCATATAAATAATTTTTAATAACTAGTTAGTTCACAGTTTTAATACATACCATTTTTGTGAATACAATAATTTATACACATCATAATACACTACTTTTTTACATTTTGTTCCGAAAAAAAATCGTCTAAATATATATTTAAAAACTATTTTCAAAAGTACGGCCAAATCGAAAGAAATTAATAGAAAAATACACTTTCAATTGAACGATAACGTACCTTAGATATAAAATGCAATGAAAACGCTTTGTTCAGTATGAACAGTTTCGAAACTACCTAGAAAGGTATACTAGAAGTTGCGTGTAAAATATAGTTTTTCACAAACTCAGGGTGATGGAAGTTTTTGAAAAAAAAAAATCAAGAACACTTTTGGAGTCAACAGAAGCATTAAACAATCATAATTTTTCGCTTGGCTATGAACAAACCAAGACAGTTTTTCTGACAGTACCCGGAATCACATTTGGTGTTCTTGAGACAGAGTTCACATCAAGTTTGAAGATATTGCTTTGGTTCCCAGCAATGGGATGCGGGTCATTTTAAAAACTGTATGAATAGTTTTTCGATTACTGAGTCATCAGAAGTGGCCTAAATCCCACACCTGATTTCAAGTCGTGTTCGGTTTTTAACTACTTTTGATGAAAATACCACAGTTTGCTAGTCTGAATTAAGTTTAGTACTTTTTGAATAACGTCAAGCATATGTAGTTATTAAAGTTGTGGAAATAATGTAACATTTTCAGTACCTCAATTTTTTAGTAAAAAAACAGCAAATCTCCAGCTAGAATAAATTTCAACTATGCACTAATTCCAGCAGAAATAGTAGAGTTTAGTATAGACCACTCAACTTCTACAAAAATCCTCGATTTGTCAAAAAAAGGCAAAGGTTTAATGCCATTGCCTTTTTCATGCACCATTCTGTTTGAAATTGCTCAAAAAAATTAAAAGGCTGCTTCAAATTTCGTACAATCGTGGGAGACTAAAAATAAACAAAATTTCACGAGTAGAATTAAAACACCTAAAGAGATGCAAAAATACAAGAAGCAAAAATACTTCGCCACTGTGGTACACGTCTGTCCTCCTAGAACATATCACCTTTGCACGTGGAGGTCACTTTTCCGAAAAATAAAATTTTTCCTGTCCCATTTTTTTGTTGGTGTTTGCTTAGGAAAAATCCCATTCATGATTAGTATCTTATAAAAGCCATACAAGAATTTTCATCAAATTATCCCAACTTGGTTTTCACCTCAGCTTTCACTTTCCCATTATTTTTTACTTGTGAACTATAAAAATCATACATTTCTATAAGTTATTTGGTATTTAGTATTGGCTTGCGATCTATAAGGGAAGTTCTCTCATCATGCGATTACGAATTATTGAACACTCAAAAAAGGACAGGTAAAAAAATGTATAAAAAATGATTCCCTGTAGGTATAAACACTAAGCAAAAATGTACTATATAAAACAGTACCTTTCACGCCGACAACCAGGCCGGAGACAACAAATGATAGCTTAGTCGTTTCAATTAGGTTAGTTCATCAGTAATAGAATAAGTGCCAAAAAGATTTTAAAAGCAGATGTACTAAACCAGCAAAGTTATATTCAGCCTTTTCAATAGAATTTTAAGTTATTGAGTCAGAATTTCCGAGTTATAAATTTAAAAAAATTATTCCAAGTTGAGACTTCGAAAAAACAACAAAATTCGTTTTAACAGCCACTTCTTGGAAAATTGGAAAACAAATAACTACCTGTATGTATTAACGCTAAGCTACAATGTACTATATAAAAGTTTACTGTTCACGCCGGCAACCAGGCCGGACACACCAAATTATAGTGTAGTAGAGTTTGAATCTGATCAGTTCACTAGTAATGGTGTAAATGCCAAAAAAAATTCAGAGGCAGACAAACTAAACCAGCCTTTTCAAAGCAATTTCAAGATTTAAAATTAGAATTTTTGAATTAGAAAAGAAATAATTCCAAGTTGTGATTAAAAAAAAATTAAATTACTGGAGAGTCCCCGCTACGCGTTTGAACATCATAATTTGCTATGACAAACAATACTTTCTTTTATTCAGTTCAGAAATAAAGGGGTTTATTTAATCATACAGGAAATTTCACAACATACTACCCCTCATATACAGGGTGATAAGAAAGAACAAATTTTTAAAATCAAATTATTGCAATAGGGAAAAATGTTGGGGCTTCCCAGAACACTCTAAGAATCTCAACTATTCCATACACTTCTTTTTCACTATCAACAAATCTCCCACCTTCCTACGAAACTTGGTAAGGTTTCCACGTGGCCAACTTGTTCTGATCTACAAAAATCTGACTTAAAAAATGAGTAACCTCTTTTTTGGAACGTTCCACGTTATAAAAATGTTCCAAATGAGTTGAGGACCTTTTCATATGTTCTGGATTAAAATGGGGTTTATGCCTCTGATTCCCCAGGTGCGTTATCTTCTTCTAAAATCGGTACGATAAGGTTGTCTTTGGACATCAGGTTGTATTTCGTCACGAACTGCGTGAACCTCTTGCAAAGACAGGTTTCGTTCTCGAACTCATCGAAGATCGACCTGTGGTGGAAGTAAGCGTGAGAGAAGATTCGGTATACTCTTCGGCAGACTGAACCTAGTTTGGCTACAGACGATTCTTTGATGCTAACCCTGGAATGAAAAATCAAGTAATATTGTTTGGGAAAATATGGAATTATATGGACATAATTATAATAATAACAAAAACTCACCGACTAGGAAAATATTTGTTGCTATTCAAGAGACAAGCTGCCCCGTCTAGGGTATGTCTAGTGTAGTCAATGGCAGGGCATTCTTTGGGAGTTTTGTGTGCTGCACATAGGAATATCCACTGTTCTGTTGCCGTCATCTGTGTGCACGTTTCTGGATGACACTCGCCCTGTAATCTAACCGCTAGTCCATTGAGTTCCATGCAGAATTGCCTATAATTGACAACAGATTTATCCTCGGCCCCAACAGTGCTCGGTATAGTAAAGACATGCAGTTTTGATCCATAACCGGTCAAAGACAAAATGGACATCTTAAAGATAAGTTTTGGAAGTTCCTCACGGAAAAAAATACTCATGTCATTTTTAGTTATCAGATGAAACATTCTATGAACATTTGTATTACTGATAATACAATAATCAACTACCGCTGTTCACATGTGTGAATTGTATTCTTTGGAATCGGTCAAGTATTTCAAATAAATTAACCAACATAAGGTTAAAGTATTTCTGATTTTTCGTCTGAATATACAATATTCTTAAAGAGAAATGAATAAAATAAGAATGGATATCTTTTCTACACACATACAAACTGGGAAAACAAACTATTAAATAGTGAAATCAAGTCCTATGGATGTCCCAAAAGAGATTATTTGTGCAACAAGTTGGGTCTGGATTTAGAATAGATGTCTTCAAGACATAACAATATAAGTCGTTAGAATGTTTCATGTATATCTTTGAAACTTGTCCAACTATTTTAGAGACAGCTTGGGTCGACATCTTTAAGACATATGAAAAGCCCTACTCGTTTTCTGGAAAAATTCTGTTTGATTTTACATGTCTTAAATCATGCATTACAGAAAAAAAATTATGAGAAACGTATGTTATAGAAAAACCTAAAAGCCCAGTGGTTGAATAAAGTGAAACTACCTCAAATGTTCATATTTCCAGACGCCTTCATCTTGAGAGTCAGGCATTTTCAGAATCAAATCAATATTGTTCGGATCCCTACGAATGAGTTGTTGAATGTACTGTTGTACTGCTAATGTACTGTCCATTTCTTCGAAAGATTCATCTGGCCATCGGCAAAAATCCTGAAACAATTATAAATGTAAGCATTATGTTTGGGACTTGCAATGTGTATATGAGCTGTCTCAAAAAAATACGCCCAAGCTCGTCGTGTATATAAAAAACTTATAGTGATTTTTTTAGAAAAATGTAAAAACTTCCATTGTACATACCTTGGCTTTTGTACCAGGTCGATTTCTTCGCAAAATTGTTGAACCGTCAGCCATCTTCATCTTTGACATTTATTGAAATGATTTAAAATAATAATGACAGTGACAGATGGCATTCGAATTGGTTGCCATGACAGTAAAATCCAGTTCTTCTTTTTATTAGAAACACGGCTTGAACAACTGTAACGCGGGTCAGGAAAAAAAACTTTGCTTATTCATTTTTCTTAAGGTCAGTTCACACTTCAAGGCTTATTCATGCTTATAAATATTCGCATTCTTCCTGCGAATTGCAGATCGCAAACTTTCAAAAAATAACAGAAAAAATAATTCAATATTTCCACTTTGAATTACAACCAGTTTTTCTATAGGAGGTGTGGAACATTCAACGTTTGTTACAATTACCAGTTTAACTTTATCGTTACCAACAATTTGTCTAATGGAGTTCAAGTTACACAAAAATAATTGAAATTGAATTCGAAATGAAATTGCTCACTCGATAGTGATGTAAAATACTATTGCTCCTAAAAATAACCGAAAAGAATGCCACCTTATGTTACGTTTTTTGAACGTGATCAAGTGAAAACAAACGTTCTTATACAATGAAGCTGTTTGTGTGATGATAAACTGTTGTGTATTCTACAACATGACGATGTTAATGTGTTGTAGATGTGAATTGTAATTACATTGACATAAAATATTGTTTTAGGTTATGTATGGAACTACTTGAAAGTTTCTCGATTCTTCTTTGAAACCATAAGAATATAAAAATATTGATATTATGAAAAATGAGAAATAAAACTTTTTATGTTTTTTACCACTTTCATTTGTAACTAATGTTACTGCAGTTCCACCCTATTGGGACATTTTCAAACAGTGACAAGAAATTTGGAATAGAAATATTGATAAACATGTTTGCTTTTCGGTTAACCCATTTGACTAAAATAAAATTCCAAAGATACATTACCTCCTATGATTGAAGTTACGGAACTAGTAGCTGGATACATGTCTAAAGACACACCCAATTAATGAAACTAACTTCTAATAACCTAACTTTTGGGTAAATAAATAGTGAATAGAAATTCGAAATTTCGAATCGATAATTGAAAGTATACATTGTGAGAAACGAGAAATATAAACTGATTTAAAAAATACCAACGATAGTAATTAACAAAAAAAAACGAAATCACACTCTTGAATAGTACTAACTCTGCTAATATCTTTGAATCATAATGGAAAACATCGATACACCAACATTCAACATGAACGCACAAGAAGAAAACCCCACCGTTGAAGCGTCATGCTCAGATCCAGAGAAACTAAATTGGTTTCATTGCAAAAAATGTCCCTTTGAGACAGATTGTTTCAAAACTTTCAGCAGTCATGGAGTTGAAGCTCACAAGGAAAGCTTCAAAAAAAAATATTCCTGTAGCAAATGTCTTTACAGTGCTGCAAAAAAATGGAAACTCATGCAACACCTCAAATATCACGAGGACATTCCAGGGATATTTCTCTTCAAATGTCACATTTGCCCTTTCATAGCTCCACTCAAATGTCAGTTAGATCGGCATTTGATGTTTCTTCACGCAGATAGACCGGACGCAAAAAAATTCAAATGTATCATTTGCGATTCGGAGTTTATATCGAGAAGTTTGCTCATCAAACACAGAAAAACACATAAGTGACTGTTGGCTATAGTGGTCATTGTATTTTGTGACGAGTAATAAATTCCAATTCCGGAATGAAACAAAGGAATTGCAAGTTCCAACATAATTTCCGGAAAGTTTCAACATAATTTCCTACATAGCTGCGAATATCATAAAATATAGTGGACAGTTGTCTTCAACTGTTTTAAGCTGTTGAAATTCAAATGTTTATGTTTGGATCACTGTTGGCTAAGTAATTCAGTTTTAAGTTTACTTTTGAATAGCGTTAGTGGTGAATTTTTCAAAGATTCACTGAATGAATTATACATTGTTACAGCATGATACGTGAAGGATCGTTCATAGATAGTGCTGTTATGATTCGGAATGTCAAAATTATTGTTAAATCTAAGGTTTCTTGAGTGTATCTGATGTCTGGGAAAAAGTTTATTTACCAAATAAGTGGGTTGTTGTGTTTTCATCAGTTTGTGAATGAAGCAAGCGAAATGCAATCCTCTTCTGTTTTGTATTTTTAACCAATTAAGTTGATTGATGGAAGGGTTCACATGATCTCTGTAATTCAAGCTGAATATTAGTGTTATGCAGGCGTTCTGTACTTCCTGAATTCTTGCAGAAGTTATGGAATTGATACGACATGTTTCCATATATCAACAATCTTCTTCAATATATATGGAAATGTATATCATGAATATGTCTTTGAATAGAGGGGACATTGAAAATCCTGATAATTGATTTGACACTCTCCTTTAGATGTTCAAAAAACGGACACATTTGAAGATTTCTCCAAGCAAGTGGAGGCAATCGTGAAAGATGATGGATTGAACGTTTTACTGAACAATGCGGGATACTCTCCCAAATTTACCAGGATCAATTTCGTCAAAGAGGATCAAATGATGAACACATTTGCAATCAATACAGTGGGATTCGGTTTGAGTAGAGCCATGAAGATGATAGCACAGTCTGCTATCGAAACGCTCGCATATAATAAATTAGAAGTTATTAAGAAGCCGTCTATTTTATATGCATATTTTTGAATATTCTTTCTTATCTTTTCAGCGACATTAATTATATTTGTTCTATATTTGAAAATATCTATCACAGCATATAAAATCTAGAAGTTTGATCTTCCTCTTGAAGATGATCACTTGGTGATCGAAACACGTGTCGAGGCGTTAAAATATCGGTTTGGTGTTGGGAAAAAACTTCAGTAATATTCATTAATACACCAAACGTTCCAAACAATGAATCACAACTTCATAGCTATTGTAATTTCATTTCCCTCATTAGCTCAGTCCTCGCGACCTCAGTTTCCAACGCCAAACGCTTCCTTTCAATTTCTACCCTCTTTGAAGATACCTTGGATTCATTTGATTTCCTTGCCGATTTTCTAGTAGAATCTGATACTTTTGATGGATACCTGCTTGATCCTGGATCTGTTCCATCCCTACTGCCAGTTCTATTAGATTGTACATGAAATCCGGAACCTTTCGGCTCTTTTATGGGAGCTGTTTGGACAATTTCCAGCGTCTGAGTTGCGTCTCCTTGCTGATGCGAAGACATGAAGATATTTGATTCTGACTGAACAGTGTCATGAATACTTTGCATATTACTCTCTAATGCCAGCGACCATCGAACATAATCATCAAAATTATTGGTTTTGCCAGCATTTCATTTCTGAGATCTTCTTCGATATTCAGACATGTTTCCTATTCAGTACGTATTTGTGGACTGTATATACTATATTTTAATATCTAATCCGGCTCGAAGGACCATGCAATTTCCTTAGATACTTTATTTTTCAAGAAAATATCAAATTTTCCTTTTTGACGTCTATTGACCTTTTTTGACAATCAACAACAACAACTTTTTTATTTCAACATATCTCATTCACAGCTAACTAAATGGAACAAAAAAATATACTGAATGATACATAAATTACATAGAATTTGGAAGCAACAAATAAACAAAATATATAATCTGTGACAGCTATTATGATAAGAAACAGAAAAATTTTAATTTGAGGATTTTGCTTTGTTCCAGATTTTACTGGCCGTGATAGATATTTTCAAATCTAGAACAAATATCATTAATGTCGTTGAAAAGATAAGAAAATATAATTAAAAATACGCATATAAAATAGTCGGCTTCTTCAATCCAGCGATATTAATGATAATGATAACGTTATCATTAAATGTGTGTGTATTAATCAAAATGATAGTTAATCTAGCGGAAAAACAATTTTAGTATCCAGCGGACTGAAAAAAAATTACGTTTCACCAATTATTGTCCTTATTTGTGAAAAACTTTGTCGGATCTAACAATGATACTAAGTATAGAGTCTGTTGTTAGTTAATTTCCTATATAAGATCAAACAATTCAAAATCATTATGGATCAAATATCTATTTTTAATGAAATTCACCTATGAAATATTGATCGAAAGAAAGTCAATTTTCGGTGAAGGAAATAGAGTATTTATCTAGCTTTTTTGCTCCCAAATGAAGAATTTATTTCCCCGAACAACAGGCATTCTGAGATATTTTTATTGAAGCAACAAACATTATATTCTGTATGAATTTCAATACAAAATGTCACTTTGTTTTCCTTGGATTTTAGACCGCCATCTTGCGGCAATGGTTTCTCGAATTTTCCGTACCATTTCTACTAGGCAGTAGAAACCGATTCATAGAATAGATGGCATTTTTCAATTTCGACTGTTAAACAAAATTGGAACCTCTATCCGGTCTTTCAAATGCTATGCACTATTTTTTTGTGTAGACACACACAGCCCTTGTTATTTATAAGACACCAAATGTCATTGAAACACACAGTTCATCTACCGAACGAAAGATGACGCAACGTTACCAACCAATAATTTCAATTACTATTAGTCACTCCCAAATTTCTTCAGTTGATATCTTGAATTTGCAAATAAACTGTGACACAGTCAAAAAAATCGCAATCAGATATTTCTTTAGCCTTTAGATTTCTAATTTGGATTTTTAGATTTGAAAATTTGTTTCTTTTCATATTAAAATAAAGGTGGATATTTTGACAAAAAACAGTTAACCTCAACCAAATTCTTGAACCGTGCACATCAGCTTTGGCAGGGAAAATTACCTGACTTAGAGATTTCCTTTTGCCTTTCTTTTCTAGGACAATTTCCCATAACGAGCACTTTCTAATCTGAAATAAGTATTTTCAAGTGTTTCTGTTAGGTAACGCGAGATAACTAAAGAAAATATCCATTTTTATAAATTATGAGATTGAGAGAGATATGAAAGATATGGGAATAATTATCGACAAGTGAATCGCTAATAATTAAGTTTTTTAGTTCTTCTCGACCGACTCTTGTAAAATAGTAAACTGTGTTACTGAACCACTTCAAAATGGCTTTGAAATTACCGCCACATTTACAGTGGGTTTGAATCTGGAGTGTTAACTAAACTCCATTCAAGAATTTTTTATACCACCCTACTGAAATGCAGATGGGCTGGAAAACACTGAAAACAATGTCTGTGTGTCAAAGAGAATGGGAGATGTTTTACTGTAGGTACTATGTAGAGGTATCTCGGTATTGAATTGGTATTATTTGAAATAAAATCCAATTCTGTACGAGAAATCCATATGATTCAACTGTGTTACAGTTTTTATACTGTCGAATGCTTTTGCAAAATCTGTATAGATGACATTTACTTGACTATGGTCATCTAGCGCCTCTGCGATATATTGAGTGATAAATATCAGATTTGACACTGTTGAGCGATTATTGACAAATCCATGCTGATTTTGAGATATCATATTTCGGATACAAGAATATATACGATTATACAAAATGATTTCAAAAACTTTTGCAAAGTTACAGAGCAATGAAATACCTACTCATACAGTGTTCTATATAGAGCTGGAAAGTTTGCTCTTCGGAAATTATATGATTTTATATTCACAAGACAGAAATAGCAATCGTCAAAATGATTTTTTGGTTCCTCCATACCATTGGAACACCAAACTTTTAACATTTTCGTTGTTCTTTCTTCCACTGTCGCAAGTTTTCAAGATAAGTTTTGCACACTACATGTGGAGCCCAGGATTTATCTTGATCTCCTAAATGAACACCAAAATAGACTTGATATGCCCTTTTTAAAAAATAACAAACTGGTTTTCTACTTTCCTATAGAATGTACTCGCCACATATGTAGCAAAAAACGTTCGGGTTATTCACACAACAACGCCTGCTTGTAGAAGCCATGGATTTCAGTTGTCACAAACAAACACTTGCAACGAAACTCAAGTTCAGACTAAATTTTACAATGGAATACAGTCAAATTTATAGGAATTTATTAAGGCCATTTACGAGAAAATACTACTTACTTATCGGACAATAGGTAAGAAGCAATTAGCGCTAATTTCATGTTATGAGCATTTCCAATAAGTACACTTTAATTAGAAGTCATTAGTATGTATTTGTCTTAGAATTTGTTAAGTTTGTTTATAAACATATTGCAATTATAGTGGTGGAATGTACAGAAATGTAAGAATATTTAAGTATTTGATGAATATGTTATATCTCGAAAACTAGAGCTGACACAAAAAAAATGCTTGTATTTTTGAAATCAGCACAGATGAATTAACCAAAATCAGTTGATTGTTTTTCGGCAACAAGACAAACATTTTTTTTGGTGGGATGTGTTATTAATTGGTATTGTTTAGAACTTGGTCGGTCAAACTTGCTTGCTGAAAGTTGGCAATATTTCCCATTTCCAGTAGACTAACAGTAGGCTTGCCTCCAGACTATAGGAAAAAAAACTTCTTCACCCAGACACCAAAATACATACTACCGTAATAGAGAAAAAGATCTATTGCCATTTTTTTCTCAGCAAGATGATATGGTTTTTTGTAACAATATTAAAGGAATGTTAAAAAAAATGGGTGTATCGGAGTATACACCACATCACTGGCGTCTTTTTATCGACAGTTCCAAACGAAGTTTAAAGTGTGTCCTTCCACATAATGGCAACAAATATGGAAGTTTACCAATTGGGCATTCTACAAAACTGAAAGAAGAATATAAAACAATATCGCTGGTGCTAAAGAACATCAAGTATGACTAACATCAGTCGGCGATCTGTGTTGGTTTTAAGATGGTGAACTTTCTACTGGGACAACAAGGTGGCTATACAAAATATCCTTGTTTCCTGTGTCTTTGGGATAGCGGGGCTAAAGACCAACACTGGAGTAGAAGAAAATGGCGTTCTAGAGATGTTTTAGTTCAAGGAGAAGCTAACGTAGTTAACAAAGCATTGGTCGACCGAGAGAAAATAATATTACCTTCGTTACATATTAAACTAGGGCTGATGATGTATTTTATGAAAACGATCTGATGGAGCAAATCTGGTGACATTTTTGGATTCAGCAGACCCAAATCACCCAGAAACATTAAAAAAAAAACCGGCAGCAAACTGTGTGTTTACCAGTGTAATCTAACTAATACCAACTGAAACTAATTTCCAATATAGTCATCGAACATGAATATGAAAATTTCTACATAGAAAGTGGCCTAAGTCGGACACACCCTGTACAAAGGTTCTAAGAATACAGTGACATTATAGGATATTCACGTTAAGAAGAGAATGACGTCACAGGATGACAAGTTACGGCGTTGTCAACATGTGCACTATTTCAAACTTTTACGTTTTTTTGTACTGTTGATTTGTTTCATTGCTATTAACCTTACTTACTATAAATTTACTTAGTTGAAATACAACTTTGTTGAGACTGTTTCGACAATGCTTTAAGCATATTGAATATACGCAGATCTTATCAAAAGAAATGATTAGTTCTGAAAAAAAAAGACCGACAGTTTTCGAGTTTTTTCGATTCGGCAACGTCTGAAATTTTACTACCAGTTGAGCAACCTACAAAATTAAATTTTACCTAGTTTCACTGCTATTGAACGCATTTCATTAGGAATTTCAAAGTTGTTATGTTGGATATACAAAATTACCAAAAAAAAGAGACGTCATTCTCTTCTTAACGTGAATATCCTATATTAAAGTCCGCACCATACATAGTTTTCTTAACGTTTGTTTGAAGATAATTGACAATGTTTCATGGTGAATTTCAGTAGTTCCGACTTCCATTCTATAATATAAGAGATTTAATCCTGCGGATTTCAGGAAATATTCCTAATCAAAAGTAAGGAAACAAAATGAAACGCACTTACTTTTGTTAACTGCACTGGAGGAATTCCTGATTTGAGTGTTCACCGTTTTGAACGCGTAAAACGTATTACCCCGAAAGTTCCGCACACCTCTAAAAATGACATTTTTAAAACAAAAAACCGACGCCATTTGACCGTTCTAAACTATCTGACTTCAGATGGCCTTGATTGCTCTAATCTTCGGCCTTGAAGTGGGTTGGAGACAGACAAATTTGTTCTGGTGCACTCAATAAGTGATGAAACGTTCTTGAAAAATAAATGAAATGAAGTCAATTTTAATAACCGGTTGCAATCGGGGGTTAGGTCTCGGTCTGGTAAAACATTTAGTGAAAGATAAAATTCCCCAAAAAAACATTATTGCAACATGCCGTTCTTTGGATAAGGCAGAGGTAAGCCGATTTTCTAGGTTATCTAAACATATTTATTCATCTATATACTCACCCGTGGGAGCCATTTCACTTTCAATTACTAAACTAATCAGAAATTGGTCGATAAATATCCAGGAACAGTACTAAAATAACAAAATATCAAGCAACTATCACAGCATTCGCGGGTATAGTGGAAAAGCGAGCCACAAAACACACTGTTCAGTACGCGAGCGCGAAGTTTAATTTGATTCGTTTGAATGCTTTCATAATTTTATACTTTATATATTATATCCCTACCTAACAGATAATTGACACTTGAATTTTACTAGTCATGACTACCTATCGCCTATGACTAATTATCCGTATCCGAGATGAAGTAGTTTTTGTGGGAAAAGAAGAATCTGGAAGAATTGGAAATGTGTAGTGAATATTGACACGCCCACAAAGACGCATTTGAATTGTTTGTAAACATGCAGATTTCTCACAAATTTTTGTCCAGATCTATTTTAAATATTTTCATGAATTGTGTTTTGTTTCATTTGAGACTATTATGTGGTAATCACAGTCACATGATTGGTCAAAATTCTACAGGTGTTTATTCAACCTCCCCTACCCACTGAAAAATTGATCTCTATATACGAGGGGTGTTACAAAGTAACGTAGCTACATGGTTGTCCAAATGTTAGTTGCCTATTCGACTTGATTAAAAATATAGATGCATAAAACTTGCTATATTCTGAAGAAATTTTCAAAAAATTCTCTATCTCTTCAGTGAATATTTTCCAGTACACGGAAAAAAAAATGTGTTGCCGTGTTAGGAATCACGCGTTAAAAGGTAAGACCTCGTTAATCCTTAACTCGCCCAAGTTTCGACTTCTGAGGGTTGTCGTTAGTAGGGGTGCGATAGCTGGTTAACGAAAAAACAGATTGTTTTTGCTTGTCTGTACACGCCTGAAGAAGCTATTGTGTAGCGAAACACGTGTTGCTTTTTTAAACTGTTCAGTGAAAATCTCACAATAAACTTTCTTGAATATTTAATACATTTGTGTACACAGATAATGAATGTTTGAACTGTGTTTTTGTGTTTATTAATTATGGTGGAGTTGAGTTTCCCTTGAAATTAACTGTGCTGAAATATAGCAATTGAAGAATCTATATTCTTTCATTTTATATTCTCAGGAGCAATCAATAACTTCATTCTGATATTTTCTATTTTTCTTTGCAGGAACTACAAGAAATTGCAGCTTCGAATTGTAACGTTCACATACTACAGTTAGGTATTCGACACTTTTTATAATGTTGAGTGGTTCAGAATCAGTAAATTGACGAAAAAACACTGACTTCAAAAAATATCCACATTGAGCTAACAACGGGAATCGGCAGTGGATGAAAACCTCAGTTTTTATACATTTTTTATTCATCTTTTGCCTTCAAGGACTTCAGATTTCAGTTCGCCTAAAAAATTCTGATGATGTTAGATCAGTTGATCTTTGTGGCCACAATCTCAGCCTTTCTTGGAAAAGATTTCTCATTTCAAAGTTCACTTAACATATAGTATGAACATGACAAGAAAATTGTACCTATTGGAAATTAATTTCATGACTTTTTTGTTTTCATTATAGTGTAGTATTTTGAACTCAAATGTGTGAATTTTCAATATAATAATAATAAATGGGCTTTATTCATTGACATACATTGTTCATAAAGAAGAAGTAAATACAAAAATCAATGAAAGGGCGAAGTTTAGCCGAGCCTGTTTTACAGCTTAACCTGGGGATAGCATGTTTTATATAGAAATATAAAAATAATTACCTAGTACACATTGGTAAGTGAGTAGTTCATGAATTTTTTTGAAACTAAGAAAAAACACAGGTTATGAATTCCAAAGTAAATATTAAAAATCTATTTAGCTTAAATAAGGTAAAATATATAGCAGAAAAATTTATAAAAATATGTTTAAAATCTGTTTAAAATATGTTTTTCAGTTAATCAGCTGTCGCCCCCATACGAACAACTCTCAAAAGTTGAGAAACTTGTGCGAGCTAAGGACTAACGAGGTCTTACCTTTCAAAGTGTGATTCCTAACACGGATGTTTCTTATTATGTTTCTTATTATTTTCTTTTGTAAGGTTTTCAGAAGTTTGATTATAAATTTACTTGCTGTTCCCCAAACAAAAATAAAATACTGCAAATGTAAATAAACATATATATTTTGGAAATTTCAAAGGTATAGAGTTTCTAATTATGTATTCCATGATAATTTCTCATCAATGTATGAACCTAAAAATTTTGTTGTTCTTTTATATTTAATAGAATTTTAATCAAACAAACGAATTTTTTGAAGTATCAATTGGTCTCAGGGAAATATTCATATATGAACATTTATTGAAATTAAGCCTCAACGTATGTTCGATAAGCCAAATGAGAATTTCATCCAAATCATTCTTCATATCATTTTTTATTTTTTTGTAACTTCCTGAGAAATATATAATAGTAGTATCATCAGCAAATAGTTTAATTATACCTTTAAATTTCAAATTGGCTAGAATTATATAAATAAGGAGAAAACAGGACCAAGGATGGATCCTTGGGGTACACCACAAGTTATATTTTAAAACGGCTGAGTTACGACCATAAAAACCGTCGCATTAGCCTCGCTAAGGAATTGTTTAATGACGTCAAAGGCGATCCAGATCTTAAAAGGTTCATAACTTGAGACGAATCATGAGTATAAGGTTGCGACATTGAAACCAAAGTTCAATCGTCCCAATGGAAGAGCCCAGGAAAGCGAATACCAAAAAAGCACGCCAGGAACGATCAAATGTCAAGGTTTTGCTCAGTGTTCTCTTCAATCGCCGTGGCGTAGTGCATCAGAAGTTCTTACCACATGGTCTTACGGTCAATGAGAAGTATTATCTTGAAGTTATCCGCCGCTTTCGAGAAGCAATACGAAGAAAACGTCCGGTATCGTGGGAAAACAAATCATAGCTCTTGCAACACAATAATTCATCTGTACATTAGTTATTGCTTGTTCGTAATTTTTTGTCCATAAACAACTCCGTAATCATGCATCAGCCACCGTATTCACCAGATTTGACCCCCCGCGATGTTTTTTGGTTTATAAGATTAAATGTCGGCAATTGGCTGTCCCCGCGGAAGCAACCCTCAGATCATTTTAGTGGAAAATGAACTACGAGAGTTCAGCTGTGAACATTTCAAAACCTTCAAGTTTGTCACCTTATACAAAGCTGAGCAATATTAATAAATAAAAATTCATTACATTAGCTTTAGTTCTAGGCGATCGTTTTTGTCTTTTTCAGATATTTCGGGAATCACGGCATTCATCCGAACACAAACACATAAAGTGGATTGGAATATCAATTATTAATGTTGATCACTCCAATTTTGAAGGTATATACAGTAAAATTGGTATTTAGGGATAGTTTTAGTGGAAGAAGATAAAACATTCGGTTTGAGTAGAGCCATGAAGATGATAGCACAGTCTGCTATCGAAACGCTCGCATATAATAAATTAGAAGTTATTAAGAAGCCGTCTATTTTATATGCATATTTTTGAATATTCTTTCTTATCTTTTCAGCGACATTAATTATATTTGTTCTATATTTGAAAATATCTATCACAGCAAATAAAATCTAGAACAGTTTGATTCCAAGCAGTGAATCACAACTTCAGATCTACTCTAATTTCATTTCCCTCATTAGCTCAGTCCTCGCGACCTCAGTTTCCAACGCCAAACGCTTCCTTTCAATTGCTACCCTCTTTGAAGATACCTTGGATTCATTTGATTTCCTTGCCGATTATCTAGTAGAATCTGATACTTTTGATTGATACCTGATTGATCCTGAATCTGTTCCGTCCCTACTGCCAGTTCTATTTTCAGTACGTATTTGTGGACTGTATATACTATATTTTGATATATAATCCGGCTCGAAGGACCATGAAATTTCCTTATTTTTCAAGAACATATCAAATTTTCCTTTTTGACGTCTATTGACCTTTTTGACAATCAACAACTTTTTCTTTCAACAAAAAAATACACTGAATGATACATAAATTACATAGATTTGGAAGCAACAAATAAACAAAATATATAATCTGCAACAGCTATTATGATGATAAGAAACAGAAAAACTTTAATTTGAGGATTTTGCTTTGTTCCAGATTTTACTGGCCGTGATAGATATTTTCAAATCTAGAACAAATATCATTAATGTCGTTGAAAAGATAAGAAAATATAATTAAAAATACGCATATAAAATAGTCGGCTTCTTCAATCCAGCGATATTAATGATAATGATAACGTTATCATTAAATGTGTGTGTATTAATCAAAATGATAGTTAATCTAGCGGAAAAACAATTTTAGTATCCAGCGGACTGAAAAAAAATTACGTTTCACCAATTATTGTCCTTATTTGTGAAAAACTTCGTCGAATCTAACAAAGCTAAAGCCTTCCAAATGTTTAAGGATATGGTGGTTTATGTTTTTCTCCATGATTTTAGATATCACTGATAGCAAAGCGACTGGTCTATTAGTTATATTTGGAAGAGTTTTCTTGCCCTTTTGGGAAGAGGTTGAACGCGAGCAGTCTTCCAACAAGAAGAAAAACCCCCTTTCTTGTACGACAGAAGTCTGCAAAATACTGCATTAATATTTCTTAGAATTTAGTGCCTCACTTTTTTGGTTGACGACTTGTTCATTTTGTGGAAATTCATGTTTACTGAGGATACACTACAAAAACACACTTTTGTCTATTTTCCACGATATTTCTTTAGTGCCTATTATTATGGAATTTTAGTCAATATGATTTACTATTTGTTTGAAGGTGGTTGATAATGTATCCGATCTGATGAAATTCACCATGATTTATTAACTTCCTTTTTTTTAAGTTTCCCATATTTATTATATAAAGGTGAGGAATCAGAAAGCCATAATCTTTCTCAGTTTTTTATATTTCATTGAACAATTTTTTAAATCATATCCTACACACCTTCGGAAAAATCATCGTTCGTTCATTAGTTCATAGATAGCGAAATAATACAAAACAAACCAAATATGATTTGACTTATTTATCTTAAAAAACGGTAGAACGTAATTATTCATGACTTTCGATATTGGTTAACGAAACGCGTGTCTAGACAGTATTTTTGTTCTGATGTCGGATAAATGTTTTCAATGAATTCCAATTCAATCAAACGTTACTGTGATATTTTCACTAGACAGTTTACAAAACCACAAGATAACAGCTTCTTTGGGCGTATTTGAATCGCATATACTAATTAACAACATTTATACACAGCAAGATCTGCCTGGCGGAAAACAACTACTTTCCTGGTACCATGGATAAAGACCCGATAGACGTTTCTGCAAATGTTCTACATAGGGAATTCTTGCAGAAATTCGTTCGTCTGCATGTTAAAAGGTTTAATCACAGATAATCTTGGTTTCACAGATTTAAATTCATAATTGGAACTTGTGTTTCTTCTATGTTGGCCACCTTTATATTTGTCTATAGTTTCAGTTGCCATTTGTAAAATTCCGTTCGATTTTGTTTTCTGTTTGAAGTTATCATTTACTACTTATATTTATATCACTCAAATATAGAAATTACAGTTTGCAGCACGTATATTTTTTCAGAGTTGGCTACTTTGTGTAAATGTCATTGGTGTCAGGTGTTACATGTAGTTGTTGAAGTTCATATGGTCCATATTTGAGTTTTTCTTGCTGTTTTCATCGTACTCATTTTCTCAAAATTCAGTTCAGGTAATGAAAAGACACTAAAACCATAAACAGGTTGGCCAACTTAAAAAAGTACCTGTGCTAATATATTTTGAATTATAGAAGTCAAATGATTGAAAAACCTATTGTTGCTTATAGACTACGCCGTGTTCTATCTGAACCAAGAGAAATAACAGACATTTGAGATGTATACATTTTTCATGTAAGTTCAAGGTTGGTAATTCGTACGTCTCTCTTCTCTTGTCATTCTTGTCCCAAAGACAATGACAGCTGATTTTTCCTACAATGACAGTTACTTGAAAATCGAAGGAGAGTGCGGGATGAGATTGATTAATAACAATGAAATAAAGTGAAATTTTCTAACTATGGAGTTGTTCCGTACAAGCGAGTTCTATATTTTCGTTAATGGTGAACATTCCCTGTGGTGGGACCGTCAGACCGGAGCATTCATTCCCAAAACAGGTGCTTCATTCATTAATAATTCGCGGTGGACTCTATGAGTCAATACAACTTCCGCCCCCACATTTACTACTTTCTGAATCAATCGTCGAGCGCGTAAAACATTTAATTGTATAAATTAGAATGGCCCGTGCATTTAACAGTGGCTGATTGGTTAATTTGATTGTTGTCAATGACAGACTGGATTTCTCAATTAGTTCATTCTTTTTAGGGCAAATTCCTTAATTTTAGCATTCATTTCTCTTTATTTCATTGTTTCATTTATTTGAATAGATTTCTGAAAAGTATTCATTGAGGTTAGTCATAAAATTGAGAAAATTCATATGCATCTATTGTAGTTTTTAGACTGATTTGATAGAAAAAATAGTTCTGTCTTTCAGAATAATATTTGTTGCTCCATTGAGTAGAATTGAAAATATATATGTCTACCTTTATTCCAAGTTTCTTTTGATATCAGGGATGCCAATACTATAATCAGCATCCTCATTGTATTCTGGGTAGCTATGATAATAACTTCTCAAGCCACATGAAAGCTACAAGATTAAGTTTCATGAGAAAAATATCTGGTCGCAAGTCAATTTAAAATTTGGAGGGGGCCATATCTAGATCTATAGCCTCCTCCATATTAGATGCTTTTGCGTTGACTGAAACGCTATGGCTCAAGTTCTTAATTATTGACAAAAAAAGGGTTTGTTAAAACAGCGGATAAACTATCAGAGATTGGGAACATTCTGTAGTGTCCCTCAAGATTCAGAACTGGGCTCAAATGCTTCTCGTTATTTATGTAAAGCAGGCCCTCAAGAATCATAGACAACTTTTTGTCTGACAGATAATTTTGTCGGCATAATAAGCTGACACTGGTTTCTCTAGATACAGTTTCAACAAGTGATCTTTTCATATATGTAATTTTCTAGAGCTTAGACGATAGTTGAATTATGTTTTTTCCCATGTTAGATCTTTATCAATAATTATTCCAAGAAGATTCACCTCATCACTTCTTGGCAGATCTGGAGGTCTGAGAGAAAAGTTGATATTTTGGACCTTGGTTTGGTAAAGAGGAAGTTTGTTTGCTGAGAAACATTCTTTTATCCAACCATTCTTTTATCTGATTCTGTCCCTGGGCCACAATTTCTTGAATTGTTTCTGAAGGGTGATATAGTTGCAGATGAGTAGAATCATCAGCAAATGGTATGAGTTTTGAGCCAGTATGACTTTCAAGTCATTTATGTAGATCAAGAAGAGTAGAGGCCCCAAAACTGAGCCCTGTGGAACACATTACTAAAATCAGAAAATGCTTCATTTATCCAATCTTTAATATTTTTCAGGATGGGATCTCACTGACGCAGAGGACCCAGTATGTCTAGGTACCTGCGCCGGTATCATAGGAAAAATCGAACACAGCCCCTTAATCGATCCGAAACTTCTACTAATCAAAGAAAGTCTTCCAGTAGGCAAACTTCACGGCGATAACGTCGTTCACAAAATTAAATCGGTGGTGTTCCTCCCACTCAGTACGGAGAACACCGAAATCATCTTATCGTCTTGCCACAAGCACAAATCCATTGACTTCAAGCAGAACCCTGGCGGGACCAGCTCCCTGTTCGACATACAGAAAAACACTGCCCTCACGAAAACATGGGGCACCTTGAAAAACGCTGGGAACACCATAAAGAACACCACGCAGCATGCTGCTGCTATGGCTGCCGCTGGTGTGCATAAAAAGGGAAACAATAAGGATAAGGATCGGTTCGAGAAGCAGATTCTCGAGGAGTTTCATAGAATTTTCACAGACACAAACTCGTTTTACTATTCACATACGACCGATCTCACAAATTCCCTGCAAAGGCTGTGCAAACTGGAAAGGGGAAATTGTATAGACGAGAAGGCTTTGTGGAAAACGGTGGATGACAGGTTTTTCTGGAATAAGCACATGCTGAAGTGTTTTACAGAAGCAGAGGTAAGTGGTTAATGATTTTGTTGTCAGTTGAAATCGAAATAACTTTGAAGACTGTATCAAGAACAGATACATTCCCGTGAAAAACATTTGTCTAAGAGTGATACTGTAAACTAGCCACAGCTCCATCTCGTGAACAAAGCCCCAAGTTGTGGCACATTGGACATTTCTTCCTAGCTTGGGGATTTGTTCACGAGATGGGGCTGTTACTAGTTAGCAGTCTTTCTCTCAGACAAAAATTTCATATATGCAGTCAAGGTGATTTCAGAATATTTCCTTATTTTTCAGAACCCTTTGTTTGATCCTTGGATCCTACCGATTATTCAAGGATATATCCAGATAGAAGACTGCAAAGTAGAAATGGACAGGGATCTGATAGAAACTGGGGAGAAGAGATATGAAATTTTCACATTGTGTATTGTTTCAAGAAGAAGCAGGTTTAGGGCTGGAACTAGGTCAGTTATTTTAATGATACATTTCAAATATTTATGAAAGGAGGGCAACAAAACTTCTCTTAGAATTTCAGTACTGATAATGGTTGGGAATTCCATAGGGTTCAGCTTTGGGTCCTGTCCAGTTATATATTTATATTCACCATTTTTTTATATTATGGAATTTGCCACTTCAAATTTTTGTTTGGTACTACTATTTTTTTGTTTGTCTTGTATATTTTTTAACTACTTCATCTTTTGGCAACAAATTGATTTCAAGGAACACAGTACATCAACTTTCATAAATGTCAGTCGACAACTCAGTCATACTTCAAATTCCATTCAATAATAGCTTTCTACTTCTCCATTAACCAAATTTTTCTCTCAAATGACATTTTTCTCAATAAATTTCATCACTCCATTGTTAGAGGCCCTCCTTTCAAATTTTGAAGTCCTATTCGAGTAAGAAACAACAATTTATTGTAAGCAGTCACCTTCAGGTCAAGGTGCACACGGGATACCTCAAGGTTCACCCTCAGGGCCCCTCTAATTCATCATATAATAAGTGTACTTTTTGCCGAAGTTAAATACTTTTACCTGTGCTGATAAGGACATTGAAAATTTAGTAATATTTTGAATTAAATTTTTGGAACCCAACTTGAACAGTCATAAAGGAAGACATGGTTTAATTTTTATGAGCAATTAGTAAGAATTTTATAATTATACTGTGGCAAGTTATTCAACAGCCAACTGTATATGAAGATTATAAATAATCGTATGTTATTTTGTTTAATCAATTGATGTTTTTCTGATATAGGTACAAAAGGAGAGGCGTAGATGAAAATGGGGAGGTGGCCAACTATGTCGAAACTGAACAGATAGTCTGCTATCAAACCCACGAAGTTTCCTTTGTTCAAGTTAGGGGTTCAGTGCCAATATATTGGTCCCAACCCGGATATAAATACAGACCACCTCCTCGAATTGATAAAGGTATAGTTCTTATTTTTGAACAGACCTCATAACGTACTTTTTTTGGTACTTTAGGTGATGCGGAAACAAAAATAGCCTTCGAAAAACATTTCTCCAATGAAATCCAGAGGTACGGCCCTATTTGCGCTATCAATCTGATAGATCAGAGCGGCAAGGAGAGAGTTATATTCGATGCTTACTCCCATCATATCTTGCAATTCAACAGCCCGTTTGTGACTTACGTAACTTTCGATTTTCACGAATATTGGTGAGAAATTTTGAACCTCGTCTAGGTATCTACTGACCCGATCATTTTTAGCAGAGGAATGCACTTTGAAAACGTGTCGATTTTGATAAATGCCGTCAGCGATATCCTGAAAGACATGAATTATTGCTGGAAAGACCAACAGGGACACATATGCTCGCAAAATGGTGTCTTCCGAGTGAACTGTATCGACTGTTTGGATAGAACGAATGTTGTACAGGTGAGGTTATTTTTTACGCATCCTGGAAATTCATAACAGTGCTTTTTTAAATCTAGACTGCTTTGGGAAAAGCAGTCATGGAAATACAGTTCTGTAAGTTGGGTCTGGTGTCTCCTGAAGGCATTATGCCGAGTAACATCAAAAGCACTTTCCAGCTGCTGTGGGCGAATAATGGAGATACCATAAGCAAGCAGTATGCAGGGACGAATGCTTTGAAGGTAAATTTCGATGGATTTATTCCAAAGTGATTGTGTTGAGTATGTCCTGTGTTTCAGGGAGATTATACTAGAACTGGTGAGAGGAAGTTTACAGGCATAATGAAAGATGGGATGAACTCGGCTAACAGGTATAGTCAAAGAAAGTATACCGATTATAATTCTCTATATATTTTGAAACTTTGGGAAAACTTGAGTCAGAATACTGGAAATAACCTTTATTTTTTGCTCTGAGTTTCCAGCTCAACTGAGGAGACTACTATGTAGTGAAACGTGCTTTGAAAATGAAGTCATTATTGTGAAAATTTCAAATTATCATCATGAAGCACCTTTATCGTCACAAAAATAGCATAAATATCGAATGAAACTATCGAGTGCAAACATTTCTGTCTAAAAAAATATTACACTGAAACATTTGTGTATATCAATAGCATTTGTCTGATGGTTTCAGTGAGACTGTAACTATCATTCATGGAATTCTTATAGTTCTCTTCTATCTTCAGTAGTTTATGAAAGGAAACCTTTGAGTGAATTTTGTGGCAAACAATTTCCAGACGCAAACATTGACGCGATAAATAACTTGCTTTTTAAGTATTTTTCTTCGCCCCAAACGTTCATTCTAAAATTAATTAGGACAGAAGTGCCTCCATTGACGCGAACATTGTTCTATACCTCAAACGTTCATTTTAAAATTCAATAGGACAAAATTTCCTTCATTGACGCCATAAATGATTAGCTTTAAACATATTTTTTGATGCCCCAAGTGTTTATTCTAGAATTGAATAGGACAAGAATTGCCTCCATTGACGCGATAAATGCTCACTTTTTTACATGTTTTTTTTATGTCTCAAACCTTCATTCTGAAATTTAATAGGTCAAGAACTGCCTCTATTGACGCGATAAATGATTACTTTTTAAAATATATTTCTATGTACCAAACGTCCATTTTGAAATTCAGTAGGACAAAAGTGCCTTCATTGACGCGATAAATGATTAGCTTTATACATATTTTTTGATGCCCCAAGCGCTTATTCTACAATTGAATAGGACAAGAATTGCCTCCATTGACGCGTTAAATTATCACCTTCTTACATGTTTTTTTATGTCTCAAACCTTCATTCTGAAATTTGATAGGACAAGAACTGCCTCTATTGACGTGATAAATTAATAGCTTTTTAAATGTTTTAATGTGCCCCAAACGTTCATTTTAAAACTCAATAGGACAAAATTGCCTTCATTGACGCGATAAATTATTAGCTTTAAACATATTTTTCTATGCCCCAAGCGTTTATTCTAAAATTGAATAGGAGAAGAATTGCTTCCATTGACGCGATGAATGCTCAGTTTCTTACATGTTTTTTAATGTCTCAAACCTTCATTCTGAAATTTAATGGGACAAAAATTGCCTCTATTGACGCGGTAAATGATTAGCTTTTAAAATTTTTTTCTATGCCCCAAACGTTCATTTTGAAATCTGATAGGACAGAAATTGCCTGCATTGACGCAATAAATTATCAGCTTCAAACATATTTTTCGATGCCCCAAACGTTCATTCCAATATTCGATAGGACAAAAATTGCCTTCATTAACGCGATAAATGATTCACCTTTCAACATATATTTCGATGCCCCAAACGTTCATTGTATAATTGAATAGGACAAGAATTGTCTCCATTGACGCGATAAATAATTAGCTTTCAACATATTTTTCGATGCCCTAAACGTTCAAGAACGAGGCGTTTGAAAAATATTTTTTTCTGTATTAGTGTAATTTGGTTTATGTCCTGTTTCTATAGGATGTTGTGCTAATGCACATGATTTTGTATTGAGTTTATCACTTTCATGAGATGTTATTCTATCATTGAGAATTTTAGATCCAAGTTACAATTGCTACAAATAGTAATAATAGTAATTCTGCTTCATCTTCAACTCGAATATTATGCGGACGGTAAATTTCCATAAATTCCTACACTGATATCGTTTCCTCTTGTAGATATTACAAAAACCACTTTAGAGATTCAGCGCGTCAGTGCGTCTTAGACATTATGCACGGCAGAGAGCTGAGAGAAGTAGAACTTCAAGATTTCTGGTCGTATTTGCGTACCGTTGGGGGAATAGCTAGCGAAATCCTTCCTGCCCAACCACCGTCCTTGGCACCCCACCTCGCCCTCCAACAGGAATTCGAACTGGCAAATCTGCTGTACCACACGTATAGGTCAGTTGCCGATTTTCGAGAAGAGTTTTCAAAGAATTACCCCTGTATACAATTGTCGAGAAATAATAAACGTTTTGGTTGCGTTTAATCTTGTGTTTTATACTAACTCAATTGTTGAAATCGAGGCATGTTAGATCAGGCAGTTCAGCCGGCCGTTATGTAGACCTCCCGAGATTGTAGCACCATTCAAGCCTAATCGATTTGGTATGTTGAAAAAGTAATGCCGTTTGGTGGAGATAAGAGAATGGACAATAAAAACGTTTTTCCACACCAAAGTTGTAACACTTTTTTTGATTATCTAAAGTCTCACCAGGAGCTGAAAAATCCACTACAAATATCGTTTTGCTCTGATGATCGAGAAGAACTACATCAGGCTTTTCACTAATACGTCCAGAAAAGCGATTCTATCTTCCTCTTATTCTCCTTTATGAACTGGATTTTCGGTTCCCGCCCAACACCTAGCCCCATTATAAGAACAAACGTACCAGGACTATTTCCAGTTTGTGCATTTCAGCAAGGTAGATCACTTCGACTGTTGTGACATTGCCCTCGATAATGTCTGTCGCAATAGCGGACAAAACTTCATGTATAAAAACCTGCAGACTACGGCTAATGAACCAGGAAATATCGGATAATTTATTAGACACCGGCCATGGTAAATAAATATATTTCTTTGTGACTTTTGAGCTGGTGGGAATCAACCTGAACGTTCTTCATGACACAAGGTCTCCTGAATGTCCTTTTCGAATTGTTTCACGCCTCTCTTTTGCATCTCTGTATCTGTAGAGTAGAGGGGGGTGAGTGTAGACTTACAGCACTTAGGCCACATGTGACCCATTGTACATCCTCCCGAGGAGTACCTCCCAGGTCATCGTCCATCCTGTCCTTTCCAGGAAGGTGGACAGGTCACTAGGACACATCTCCTTTATATTGGNGTGGCCTCCGCGAAGGTTTTGGAAGGTGCAGCGACATAACTGTCGTTGCGCGACGTCTACAACCTTCTTCGGGTTCCCTCCGTGGAGGTGCACAAGTGAGGAAGCTTTCCTGCAGGGGCAGCCGGTTTCTTGCCTTTATTCAAGGCGGAGCTCTTGGCGCCCGCCGCAGGAAGTGCCCTTGCTGTTGGAGGTGGCGTGGGGAAAAGGAGGGTTGCTGCCACTCCTGCCTCCTTCGCTCTCTTTCCCCTTTTGGCCTCGGCGCCGCAAATGCGCCCAAGCCTTGGCCTTTGTATTACATCACGAGGTGATCTGCTATGCCCAGCCTCATTCCAAGCGGTAGATTGGGGTGGACATTTCTGTTCATCCCCAACCACCGCCTTAGATTAAGGTGAGCACTTCTGATCAGCTTCGGGATTGGTTTTTGTGTTTGTTGTTTCTGTTTTTGAGTTTGTTTCATTCATGTGTGTTCCCACGAGTAGCAAGGGAAGAGTTGGTCACCTCTGGCAGAGCCCCGTATTACCAGAGGTAGGCTGATTACAATTGAGGTTTCGCCCAGTTCCCCAAGGGGATCGTTCATAACCGCATATAACCCTGCGGCCATTCAGCTGTCGGCACGATTCCTTACACCTTAGCTTGGGTAGGCTGGTCCACGGTGACATGTTTTGCAAAGGCTTTTGGGGAGTTTTAGTTCCCCTCACCATACTTATTTCTGCCACTGACCTGGAGTCCGGCGACTCCGTCCGTAAGGCCACATTGACTTCCCGGACAGGGCCTCCAATACCCTGGCCGTTCCCCTATCTACCACCCGATAGGTAGCCCAATCCATGGGTCACGCCTCTCTTGCTTCCAGTTCAAATCTACTACATCTACAGATTACGTATGAAGAGATGCAGCGGGTTCTTCTATTGCCAACCCTTGTGCTGACTGACAACATAGTTGTCGACCTGACGATGGGAGAAACGAGTATCGGGAAAAGTGTTACATTTCTGTGTGTGGAAGAAGTAGTTTTGTTGGAACCATTCTATGCCCGATATATAATTTTGTGTCCTTATCATTTTGTGTCCTTATCATTTTGTACTTTATACAATAGGATACCCCAAATATGTTTTTCAATAATTGTAAAAATATTCTGAACCAACGTAATCCAGATACCCAGTTGCTCCTTATAAATGTGCTTGTGCCTGCTAATAAAAATTAATTGATTGCCGTTGCTGACATAAACAAGAAGGTAGAAAAAATGTGAAAAATGACGATTCTTATCGTTTTTAGAGATCTCTTGTACTTTGCAGATACTACTTGAGCCGCTTTAAAGATTCCAACAGACAGGGTACCATAGACATCATGCTTGGTAAGTTCTTAGAATGCATACACCACTCATTCTTTCCCCCCTCTTTAAAAACCCATCAATATCATTAAGACATTGTTTTGTTGATGATAGTGTCAGCATTTTATTGATTGAACAACTGTGGAGCAAGTCTGGTAGGCGAATTTAACGAACTGGTGGGATGTGGTAATGGGGAATGTTCCTCAAATTGGGTTATTACAGCAAATGCAAGTTTGAACAAAATAAAGTTGAGTTCAATTCATGAGTTTTTCAAATTCACTTTGAAAAGTATTCAAATTGATGTTTCAAATGTTGGGTTTTAATTTTTAAAAAGATTCGTTTCTAATTCACATATTGGCAACAGCGCCTATATCAAGTTGAAATAATTCATACATACCTAGATATTCTACTTTAAAAAAGAAAAATTATCTTTATGAATCAACAATTGAGGCAAAATAGAAATTATAGTTCAATACCACCTCCACAAGCCACAACAACATAAACAACAGTTGTTTTGTTATTTATTTATATAGAGGAAGATAGGTTAGGTCATATGTCACAGAATGTCTCGGAACTCGAAACATAAATAAACAGAACAGCACGCCTCTGAAATATGTCATCTTTGTTTGTCTCATACAGGTAACAGATTCATTGTCCTTTATTAGCTATAACCGATGTTGCCAAAGTATTTAAATAATTTTTTAAAGAAAAAGGTTGAAATAATTAGTTTAAAATGCGTTGTTTTAGAGCTCTTTTATGAAAACTAATTAATTTTCGTCAGGAGGAACATTCCCCATTGTTGGTTTGTTTAGTACAGAGACCATGTCGGCTCTCAGTTTTTGGAAAAGTGAAATTTTTATTAAACATGTACATTTCCTAGGTGAATAAGACCGGAACTGTGGGCATGTCGTTTTACAAAAACTTCTCTGAGATGAGTTGGATATCACTCCAATACATTTTTCATGAGATATAAATATATCAACATGAATTTTATCAATTCTCAAAGCGAGCTACAACAAGTTTCAACATGAAGTTTTTATAATTTAATAGGTATATTCCTCATATTTCTGAACATGTTACATATGCATTCAATTTTAGACTATCTACACTATCAACATACATTATGCAGCTAGAAAATACTTCCATATTGTTTTCTCGACATATATTGTACTCATTAAGTTTGTGCAATGGTTTTGTGTGATCCACACAGTCGGAGATCACAGAAGATCCAAATGAAGCACTCCTCTCAATTGCTGTCAATGTCGGTTCATTACTAAACTTTTTAGGCAACTACGTGTCTGAGGACGTATTCAGCGAGTCTAAGGCAGCCCAGTTCGAAGAAGACAACGTCGCTACTGCAGAACACGTCAAACTCCTCATAGAAGACTGCAAGAAAATGCTGATAAACCAACCCGAACAAGTGGTGGGAGCCTGGGGACTCATCAACGCAGACCCCTCCACTGGGGATCCCAACGAAACCGAAATGGACTCTGTTCTGATCCTCACCAAAGACTCTTACTTTGTCGCCGACTATGATGACGAAGTCGATAAAATTACCAAGTACCAGAGGGTGCTGTTGCAAGATATTATCCTCATCGAGTTTGGTATGGCGGAGTCTAATAGTTCCTTGTTCAAGTCATCGAAGCATAGATATTCGATAAGGATTAACTATAAGGTTAACGGTGTTAGCGGGTACTACCACATGTTCCGATCTACCAATTTCAGGTTTTTCAATAACATGGTGGTGGTTGTCAAAAACTTGGAGGAGGAAGTTGGTAAGTTTCTTCGGCAGTCGGATTGCGTCACGTATATGACGTTTCAAATTATTTTAGAATCACTCAAAGCTATCTGCGAAGGATTTCTCGTAGCGATGGACATTGGTGGGATACCTCCCGTTCCATTCAAACAGAGAGAACCATTAGACAGGCGAAAATCCAAAGTGCTTAACAGTAGTTTGTCCAACAACAACATTTACTTGGACATATCGACTTTGCCACAAATGACAAGGAACGTTTCTGAAAGTCAGCTGTTATCCTTGAAGAATGTTGGTAAGTTTCCTATCATTGAAAACATATTGAATTCTTACATGTGATAGTCAATTTATAGGTTCGAAGGCACTATCAAATATGACCCAGCAGTTTTCTAAGCTAAATAAAATCGGTAGTTCGTTCAAATCTAGCAAATCGAAGCAGAAACCCGATTTTAGAGTGGGCCAAAAAATCCGCAACGAAACTTCCAGCGATTCTGAAGAGGAGTATGAAAACTCTATTTTCCAACCTCATATCAACGAAGAAAGTGGCACTTCTCTTCAGTATGTCACGGATTATAGCTGCAATAGGAGCATAGAACAAGGTAATGATTTCAAAACATTGCAATAATCTAAATAAAACGTAAGTATGAAAAGAGGACGAGACACATTATATAATTGTTGACCTTCGAAACAAATTCTGGAAAGTAATTTCATGTGCACAACGTGTCTTTTCAATTGAAAATTACAATGTTTGTTTGCATAACCCGGTCAGCTTCCTGTAATATGATAGTGATCTGAAACTTGATTTGCATTCAAAAACATTATTGATATTTCACTGGATTGAAACTTGACCAGAGTAACAGAAAAAATCATATTAAACTTGTTAGCAGTTTTGATTATAATTGAGTCATAAATCTCTTGAAATGTCATGTGAAGTTGAAATATATAAGCAACATCGTTCTTATATATTGAGCATACATTGATATGTTTTCGTGAAACTAACGTTTCGTGATGAAAAAAGATGAACAATTTCGGGAACGTGCTTGACAGAAATACCTGGTATAGAGACGGGTAAAAACCGAATATACAACTACGCAAGGTTAATGTTCATTGATCTTCCAAGCTAAATATATGTAATTTGATGTGTGCTAGAAACGTATCTTCAACTTCATATTCCTAAACCAAGTGTGGGCTTCACAAAAATCTTTGATATGGAACGAAATCAGTAAATAAGTCAATAAGAAACATACTGAGAAGATATATCTGGGAGCACACACGGAAAAACCTTTAATAAAGTATCGTCGGGAAATATAATTGCATAACAACTTCAACAGAGCAATTATCAGCTCAGAGTAATCGCAGAACTCTTCACTGGACATTATCCGTTTAGAAGACACCTGGGCAAAATAGGGTTGTAAACGGAAACCTCAGGTGCATGCCATACAACGAAGTTTTAGAGACATACTATCGTGTTTTATGCAAATGAGGCACCGCATCACAGACGGCAATCAATTCATGGACTACCTTTATTGAATACAGAAGAATGTGAAATGAGGGACACGAAACGGCAACACGAAAAGATGGGAGAAAAAACGCTAGAAGTTCGCGAAGTCTCTGTGTTTTCCAGAAGCTTGAAAGAAATAAACACGCTAGATCGATACCAGTGACGAAATAATATGGTTGACTTTTTCTTTTCACGAATTATCTGTTGTTTTTTTATTTATTATCGAATGATTTGAAGTGATAACACGTTCTTAAGTATCTCACTGAATGCTAAAACGGTTCACCGTCCAAAAGCAAAATTGCAATCTTGCCTTGCATCACCATGATACACACCCGTAATATGATAGTAATCTTTAATGTCGCTTTTGTAGAAATGGTATTATTTTCGTTAGTGTATCTGAATTTTTGATTTCGGTTGTGACATTAGATGTCTCATCTTTGCGGTAGTCTAGGAATCAGAAGTAAAATTTAACGATGGTCAGCTTAAAAAAAGTATAGACGATATTTTCTTACACGTTGTAAGAAAACTTCACTATGAAAAGTTGTCCTGGATCGAATTCTGAGTTTTATGTCTTTAGGTTTGGAAGCTATGGAAGACACAGTATTATCAACTACAAGCTTGGACAGCTTCTTACCAGGCGTAGGTATAGTGATGTGTAATCAGAATGATGGCGCCACAGTTGATAGTGTCTTAGAGACAAAACACAATTTACTGAACAGAGCCGATTCTTCCAATCTCGACGACGTCCAGTTATCGAGCATAATGCAGAGCGCTTCTATAAACTCAGACATGAATCCAGCCCCGGAGATCCAAATTAACTCCGAAGGTTTGGAACCTTCCAAGAAACCTCCGAATTCGCTGATGTTGGACAAGAAACTCAGTCGATCCTCAGTGGAGGTTTTCGACAAGAAAGACATGGCGGATTACAAACCAATTGATCGTTCCAGTTCGGATTACCAGGTGCAGTTGAACATAACACAATCGCAAAGTGAGTCAGCTTTGAAGAAACTCAACATGCCGAGTCCCATCGGAACCGCTACCAAGGATCTGGTATGTTCCCCAGCATTTGATTTGATAATGTTGAAATAATTTTTCTTACAGGCTAGTAAATTCGCCAGAGGCGTCCAGAATATCGGAGCCAACCTGGACCCCAGGAAATTGACCGGGCAAGTCAGACATGTGTCTGAAAAGGAAATGGACGACCAAAGAAAATTGCAAGAAAAGTGGCAACACAGCAAAACTAGATTGGTTGCACTATGAGATCGAATTTAGAACATAGCTTGAATCGTTTAGGGAATTTGTTCACTTATTTGGCACCTAATTGAAACCAAGGAAAAGTCAATTAGGATTTATCAAAATATAACTTCCAAAACTTGAAAGAATACAAATTGTGAATTTTAGGAGGTGTGTCCTCGTAACTGAAGCTCCATAGAGTAATTTTAGGTTAGTTGTCTGTACCTCTAACCTCAATCTAGGAGTCCCAATCTCTTTTCAGTAGTGACGAATTAATTTTAGGAGCCTCATCTTCATCCGGAGAATATTTTTTCTTCTTTGAATGGTTGAAGTTGCATTAGAAAAAAATAGATGTGATTTGATGGTTATAACCTCATAAAGAAGTTTTATAAGGACAAAATACAAGCACTACAGGAAAATCCTTAAGGGGCATGCCTGTGGGAGTCCTGGATTCATTTAGGGAGCAAATTTGAGGATTCTAACCTCACTTAAGGGGACGCCTGCACATGATAATGAATATTGAACATTCTGCATATTAAAAGTTAAAACGTTGTTTTTGATTGGGTGCCAGAGTCATATTTATAGCAAACTTAGCTTGGAATGGCTAAAGTAGTGATCGTACATTAGTGTGATATTTACATAATGTTTTGAAGTATTTATTTAATGATTGTTCGTATATACATTCACAGTTGGCAGTATTTATTTAATTTATTATGTATTGTTGAAGTTTGAGAAAGAAATGCAGCTGTCAGAACTATGTATTACTTCGAATTTGAAGATTAGTGTAATTTGGTTTATGTCCTGNAATTTGAAGAGTTTTGCCTGTATTGTAATAAGACATTGGGTTTCTTAGCTCATTACTATTCCTTCATGTTTTTAGCTATTTTTTTTCGTTTTACATGCATACGAAGAAAATTCATATTGGTTAGTCGTTAAGACATGTATTTCCCGATTCATTGGACAAATGGTAGATGAAATCAATTTAACGTAATGAAAATAATTCTGTTTTTCCACATATCAGTACCAGAAACATGTAAGTGGTCTTCTATTTCTAAGGGGCATTTGAATCGCTGCACTTTTGCCAACGTAACTCATGTCGAATAATTTCGTCAGCTCGGGATTCGATGAAGTCGACGATTGCCGTTTTTGCCTGGTCCTGATTGGCGAAGATTCTACCGGTGAGAGAGTTATTGAAGTGTTTGGAGTTACAAATAATTTGCTCAAGGTTGTTTTCCAATGATTACGAATCTAATCCAATGGAATAAATGATGTCAGCGTCTTTCTCACTATCAAATAATACGATTATTGGTGTTACTATTTTCATTTTTTCTTTATAAAATTCCCCTTATCCCCTTTAAAATACTTCCCTGCAATATCCTCTTTACCATCTTAATTTTACAATTTTCAAAACAGGGTTTTAAGTCGTTTTCTGAAAGAATGCTCATAGTCTCTGTTGATTTTTCCTTCATAGCTTCCACCGTATCCAAACTCGTGATTTTCAATGCTTCCTTGATTTTCGGGGACAAAAAATCACACGGAGCAAGATCTGGAATAGAGTGCAGTTTGGGTTGGAAAATTGCCCTGATGAATAATCCACGACTGGTCATTTTCTTCTTACTCGCTCACGGAGATTGACTAGAACTGCACAGATACTCAAAAGACGATCATGACGGATGATTCTGTCCATTTTCTTGATGTTTTCGTTAGTTTTGGAAGTTCAAAGGCGTCCTGGGTGTAGATCATCTACAATGTCTTGAAACTCCTCGTTGAAACTTTCATATTACTTTAAAACCTGTGTACGTGGCATACATCCATCTCTTTGTGAGGAAAACTAGGTATCTGTTGCTGATTTATCCAGTTTCACTAAAAATTTCGCATTGACACGTTGCTCAATTACAACGCCTACCATTTTTCCGACGAGCGGTAGGTACACGGTCCGACATTAACAAAGCCTGCGGCTCAACTGAGCAAGCTAGTGTCGTTCAATCGGCTGGCAGGTGGAGGAAGATGTCAGGCGACTCGGCAGTACGGCGTTTGTCCTTTAGGGTTGTACCATTTGTTTCTTAGAAAACCAGTCACACCTCGTATGTGTTTAGATTGGGTCAAGCTTCACCCCCTCGTGTCAACTTACTAGAATTTAGATTCAACAGACACAGGCTGTTATTTGATTGTGATATGATCTTAGTAGCTGCATATTGTGGTAGTGGTTGGTAAAAAGATTGGAAAATAATTAATTATTAATAAAAAACGGTTTAGCTCAAAAATTAGGGATTTTGAAATAGTTTATTGCAACTAGTAGGAAATGGATTATTGATCAGAAATTTGCATGGATAATTCATATTTTTAGTGAGCCAAGTCAAGAAATTGATTATCAACTGTTTTGTAATGATTTACAAGACGAGTTTCATGAATAATGTGTTTTGGAATATTTGGAGTTTTCTCACTCGTTTGGAGTTTTCTCACTCGTTTGGAGTTTTCTCACTCGTTTGGAGTTTTCTCACTCGTTTGGAACTTTCTCACTAGTTTGGAGCTTTCTCACTTATTTGCTTTGCAAAATGAATATAATTAAGTGAAGTTACACACTGTTTTGGAACCGTTCAGTGATTTTTGGAGTATTTTTATGTTCCACATGATATACCTACAAATTTTCTCATTTCGTTTCCATTTTAGTGAAGTTGGTTTTTTGTAATGCAATAGGGAGAAATGTATTGATCAAACTAGGACCCCATTAGAAAGTTATTAGAAAAACACTGCTACTGAAGAATACGTTAGTTTTAGAATGATGAATGACGAAAATCTCGGAAAATACTTATATCTGGAATATATAATCAAGTGAAATAGTTCCTGTCCCTGAGAAGCCGATCTGTTATAAGTATATCTTGTAAGAAACTCAAGCAGAATTGTTACACACTCCAAATTCAAGACACAACTAAGTAATTATTGAATTTTTGTAGATACAATGGTTAGAATGCATAAAAGCATAATATATATGTGTAAATGCCTTTACTTGACTTTTTCAAAGAGAAAAGAAAGTAGACCTCTTTTGTAGCGAAAGTCTGAAGAAAGTACCGTTTCTTGCGGATTTTTTCTGATGGCAGCATACTTGTAGAAGAAGGAATTGTGATGTTACATTTGACACATTTTCTGATCATCCTTGGCAACATACCAAGAAATATTGTGTATGAGTAGTAAGTACCCTTCCTGGTACTGAATGGACTGTCTTTGTTGAAGCGGCGATTTCGCCACAGCAAAATACATGCTCATTCTGCTAATTGCTGCTTAGCCTTCAAAGGTGAAACGTCAGAAGTACAAATCCTTGGAAATAGTTTGTGAATCAACGTTGAAAATTATTCTTTTGCCTTCAGTAGTAGTGGATATTTTCTCATCTGGCTTAAAGTCCCGAAGCAGTTTTATTCTTCAGTAGTTTAGAAAAAAAACAGTTGTCAAGTTATTCATGGTTTGTAGCTCTAGTGCTATCAGTTGAATCTTAAGAATACTAAACTTCCGTATCTCTCTTTCACTTCGGATTTGCATTCAATCAATACAAAATACTATGTAATTGTCAAATTATCTCAACAATATTCTACAATTTTTTGTACCTTTAAGAATATTCGTTTCGGATAGATACTTTTTATCTTTTTATTTTTTGACGTACACCGTTTTATCAACTCCGCCAGAACTCGAGGATAGTTATAATATGAAAACGTCATGCATTCAGATTTGCGAAACAGATATGTCAATTACCCTACACCATGTGCATTCAAAATAAATTGTTAGAACACATTTGTCGAGTTTATTTTCATTCATCATTTATCGGTTGCCCTGCCTGGTGAGGAATCGCCCATTGAGGTAAGAAAATAATTAGAGATGTGCCGATCATGACTCTTGGCGACTAGCCGATTAGTCGGTTGTGACGTGGCCGACTAGACGGCCAAGCCGATCACGGTTTCGTGACTCTATGTTTATAGCTATTCGCGCGCAAGTCGCGAAGCTTTAGGTTTGGCCACGGAGATCGGCGGTGCGAACGACGAAGCGGGGAGCGAGGCGACCAATCGCGCGACACCCACACCAGGCAATCACGTTCGCCGTCGCGAAATGTCTTTATCAAAATTATCTCGATATTGCTTTGAAAGTTATAGTTTTTTGGTTCAAGACCTAATATTTGGAAGAGATTGTGGAGTACATGATTTGAATTAGAACCAGGTTATAAATGGAGAATTCCACAAGAAGTACGGGAAATACATATTATATCCAGAAAAATGTTTTGATTGTACCAAAATAAGTATTGAAACCTTCGTTTATATTCTTATGAATATTCAACCAGAATTGGAGACAAAAGTTAATGCGAATAGAATTTTAAGTGCCGCTGAAAAATTGTTTTTGTATATTATTATTTCATATCGCGCCGTACAGATTCTTGCATTTGTTTTGCTCGCCGGCCGCGCCGCAAGTCGCCCACGCGATTTGCTCATACTTTTTGCCGGTCGCCGTTGCCCGTGGCTTCATAAGTACATTCCTATGCGTTTGTTTCAGTCGCTAGACGCTTCGCCGTTCGCACCGCGCGAATATTCGCATCGGCGGTGTCCCGTGGCCAGGCTGTTAGTCTTTTTACATCACAATGTACCTTTAATTAAAGCTCGGGATCGAGTGATTCGAGTGAACCCGGAAAAGACATAGGCGATAATCATGGGAAGAATGCTATCTTCTCCGGCCAGAAAAGTGAGGATCTCTGGAAAAGAGACCGACTGGAAATCGCGGGTAAAGTATCTCGGTCTTCTAATAGACCGTAGGCTCACCTGGAACCCGCACATCACAACCGTGAAGGCAAAGATCGAGGGTCGCATTAAAAGTCTGTACGATCCTTAAAAACAAAATTACGATCTATAAAATGATGTTCAATCCTGTCAGCATGTATGCTTCAGGCGTCTGGGGACAAGCGGCTCCGTCTAATATCTCCATCCTGGAGAGATTACAAAATAAGCTAATACGAATGATTGTGAATACTCCGTGGTTCGTACGGAATGAAGCCATCCGCAGAGATTTGCAGCTGCCTTTCATCAAGCAGTCCATTCAGTCGAGGAATCGGCGAGTTTTTGATTGTGCTGAAACTGACGAAAACCCGTTAGTTAGGGAAGCTACTGATTGTACTGTAGACGACCCCTCCTGATGTAGAAGGCCCCGACACTCTGTCGAATGAGGCCCTCATGTCCCCCGTTGAAGGATGAACAAATTTTTCGTCCACCCCAGCCAGGTAGGAGTACACCCTGAAGGGCGGTACTGATGTCTGAGGACTTTCATACCGCCGCCACTTCTTAGCCATGAACTCATTTGTCCTCCTTATAAAAATCAGCTACAAGGGTAAGGGAGCTAGGCTTCAACCTGATTGAACTGACGATGGCTGTCGGAAAATGACATTTACGTTTCTCACAATTATCTCTTTAGTTTGATTGAGCTATGAACGATTATAAAAATCATATAAGCACGTTACTGTCTTTTTGTTTTTATTTTATGAAGCAGTTAGAGTTTGAAAATTTTTATATACATTTTTTTCTATACAACATGGACATGCGAACTTACTTTAATATTACTTAGTTGCCGCAGCTTCACTGGTGTTCCTATTGGTCTGGAACCCAAACTGATTATCTCCAATAAGATTCAAAAAATTCACTGAGCCTCATTGTAACCAACTTTCCGCTTA